CCATTGCTGGACATGTTCTGGTGCAAGTCCCGTGATTTATTTATGTAGGGAGTAGGATCACGGCTGGTAGCGGCGTTGGAGATGAAGTCTGACAAAGCATTGCAAAGGCCCGCCTTGCATTCATCAAACTTAGACACCATGGCGTCGTCGTGATGTCAGTCTCAAGCGCAAGGGCAGGGTGTACAATGCTTACGTCTGTGCAGTACTCTTGTACGGCTGTGAGACGGCCTATTCGCTCGGAAGACATGAAGAGGTTGTCAGTCTTCGAAAATCGCTGTTTACGAAGGAATGCTCAGGTGTGGTGGCAACGCCACGTAAGCAACGCAGAGGTCCGAGACCGATTGCTTGGAGCGAGTAGTGCCAGTCTTCAGAACGTTATTCTCTGACATCGCATGCGTTGGCTCGGGCACGTTTTGCGCATGCCATCCCATCGGCTTCCACCTCGAGCGCTATTTGCACTCCCAGGGAGCGATTGGAAACAGTGCCGCGCTGGACAGTCAATGACATGGAGAAGGAGCATGAAGAAGTCAACGTCAAGTAAAGCAGTAATCGGACCAGTCCGTCTTCCACGCTGGGGACCACCAGAGGCTGAATCTCAGTGGCTGGAAAGATTGGATGTCATGGCCGACAACTGACACCAATGGAATCAATGTTGTACTGCCACTTTATCCTCCCTTTAATGCACACAAAAACCTAAGAAAAAAATAAAACGTTAAAATGGCGTGTGTAAAACCAAAAAATTGCACCTTTTTATCGCATTTCGTTTTCCTATTTTCTTCATTTTTCCTGCCATGGTTCCGATGGCACAATGTATGTTAACAGACTGTGAATATATGGTTGGCGGCATCCGCAGCTCAAGCCATCCATGGTCCCTCTGTAGGCGCAGGCATCCTGTGGCTTGCCACAGTGACAGGCAAATCCGAAACCGGATGCCGCCAACCATATATATATATATATATATATATATATATATATATATATATATATATATTATATATATAATATATATATATATATATATATATATATATATATATATATATATATATATATATATATATATATATATATATGGTCGGCGGCATCCGGTTTCGGATTTACCTGTCACTATGGCCAGCCATAGGACGCCTGCGCCTACAGAGGGACCATAGGTGGCTTGAGCTGCACCACCCACAGCTCCAACCACATACCCCATATCCAGTGTAAACCCGAAGGAATAAGACCGGGAAGCATGCGGATGGGAGCCACGTTTCACCAACAGAGCCGGCCCACACTCCTTCACAGGCAAAACACAAGCACGCTGTATTTGGGGAATCAAGCGCACACAAGACGCTAGCTGGACCGTAGTCCGCTCCACATTGAGTGCATGGAACCACTCTTTGATTCTAACACGGCCACAAGGACCGTGCACCCCATCCTCTCCAGCAACGCCAACTGTCTCCTAGAGCCAGGTGGACGAAATAGTGCGTGCAAGGCAGGTAGGCACCTTGTCAACATGCACATAAAGCGCAGCCACATCGGGGATATCAAACAATAGCCAATCACTTGAGAGAAAGAGAGACAAAGAAAATCACTCAATTGATGCATAAGGAAACGGTGACATAAACCTTAAGTTAATGAGCATATGAAATAAGTTGTTTAATAAGAATCCGAGAAAAGTTCATGAGGTCAGAAAGTTTATTTTACGGAAATGCTACAAACACGAAAATGTTATCGAAATAACTACAAGTGGCTTAAGCGACGTGTGCAAGTTTATAGAAGAGAGGACAGGTAGAAATTTATATGAGAAAGAAAAGTATTAGGACAAAATGGAAAACCTACCACCTGAAATAAGTAGATTTACCATGCAAACACCCGGTTAGTAAATCGAATGCAGCGTACCTACAAACGCTGCGCCGGTTCTGCCTACGTCCTCTGCAGGACCTGTCGTCGCTTCGGTAGTGATCCCGAGTGGCCTCGCTCATGGCTCACTGGGCCTGCCTGACTCAGGCACTCGCGACCGCATGTGCTACAGCACCATGCACTTGATGTCGATGGAGTACAACCCAGCGGTGCTTGCCGCTTCTTCTCTGCATGTATGACGTCTTTCTCCCGCACTTCGGCAACTGCCGTCCTGATTAGATCACGCCATGCACGCCGATCAACCGCCCTTGCTTCCCATGACCTGCAGTCCATGACCTGCAGCCATCACGTCGTGCTGCTTAAGACGGTTCAATGAAGACTAGTCGATCTCTGAACGGTTGTTCAAGAGACAGTCTAAGTGTTTCCGCCAGGTCTGCATTATGTCTGCAGTCTGTGTGCAGGTAACGCCGGAACCTCCATCAATCAGTGTCCTTAGCGACTTCATTCTCGGTCCATACACCGCCTCCCGCTTCTGCTACTTTGGGTGTGTGATGTCGATTGACCAGCAGCTACACAGTGAGCTGCGTATCCGCGTGTCGAAGGCAGCGGCGGCATTCGGAAAGCTAGAGTACCGAGTGCGGAACAACCATCAGCTTACCATTGGCAGGAAGCTGATGGTGTACAAATCCATGGTGCTGTCCATTTTTTTATACGGCAGTGAAACGTGGACGATGTACCGACGGGATGTGCGATATTTCGAGCGGTTCCATCGGCAGTGTCTGCGACAGATTTTGCGCATCAGTAGGGGCGACAGAGTTGCTGACAAAGAAGTGTTGCGACAAAGTGGTATGTATGCAGGAGGACTGCATACTTTTGCTGAGACACCTGAGGTGGCTAGGTCATGTGAGCCGTCTGGATTCGACGCGGATACCGGAACAACTCTTATATGGTCAGCTGAGTATAGGGAAGCGGCATGTGGGGAAACCAAAGTAACGTTACCAGGACATGATCAAAGTGAGCCTTTCACGTTCTAATCTTGACTGCAGGTCATGGGAAGCAAGGGCGGTTGATCGGGGTGCATGGCGCGATCTAATCACGAAGGCAGTCGTCGAAGTGCAGGAGAAAGACGTCATACATGCAGAGAAGAAGCGGCAAGCACCGCTGGGTTGTACTCCATCGACATCAAGTGCATGGTGCTGTAGCACATGCGGTCGCGAGTGCCTGAGTCAGGCAGGCCCAGTGAGCCATGAGCGAGGCCACTCGGGATCACTACCGAAGCGACGACAGGTCCTGCAGAGGACGTAGGCAGAACCGGCGCAGCGTTTGTAGGTACGCTGCATTCGATTTACTAACCGGGTGTTTGCATGGTAAATCTACTTATTTCAGGTGGTAGGTTTTCCATTTTGTCCTAATACTTTTCTTTCTCATATAAATTTCTACCTGTCCTCTCTTCTATAAACTTGCACACGTCGCTTAAGCCACTTGTAGTTATTTCGATAACATTTTCGTGTTTGTAGCATTTCCGTAAAATAAACTTTCTGACCTCATGAACTTTTCTCGGATTCTTATTAAACAACTTATTTCATATACTCATTAATTTAAATTTTACGCCACCGTTTCCTTATGCACCACTCGATTAATTTTTTTGTTATATATATATATATATATATATATATATATATATGTATGTAGGCGCAGGCGTCCTGTGGCTTGCCACAGTGACAGGCAAATCCGAAACCGGATGCCGCCAACCATATGGTTGGCGGCATCCGGTTTCGGATTTGCTTGTCACTGTGGTCAGCCACATGACGTCTGCGACTACGGAGGGACCATAGGTGGCTTGAGCTGCACCACCCACAGCTCCATCCACACAGTCTATATCCAGTGTAAACCCGAAGGAATAAGATCGGGAGGCATGCGGATGGGAGCCACGTTTCACCAACAGAGCCGGCCCGCACTCCTTTACAGACAAACACAAGCACGCTGTATTTGGGGAATCAACCGCACACAAGGCGGTGGCTGGACCGTAGTCCGCTCCACACTGAGTGCATGGAACCGCTCTTTGAGCCTAGCACGACCACAAGAACCGTGCATCCCGTCCCCTCCAGCAACGACCAACTGTCTCCTGGAGCCAATATGGACGATGTAGTGGGTAATAGACAGGTAGGCACCTTGTCAACATGCACATCAAGCGCAGCCACACTTGGGACGTCAAACAACAGCCAATCATTCGAAATGCCGATATCGATTAAAGTAAACATATATGACGACATAAATACTCGCTAAATGAGCATATAAATGAAATTGGTTATAAGTGAATCCGTGATAAATACAAAATGTCCGAAAGTTATGTAAAAAATACCAAAGCGATAAAATTACGCAAGTTTGCCACAATTTGCGTGAGCGACGTGTGCAAGTAAGGAGAGAATTATGAAGTACGCAGAACAAAACAAACAACATGTAGTGAATGTTATCCACATTAAAAAGACCTAGTTTAAGTGTAAGTTGGTTTAGCCCAACTGCGGTGAAGAAGCATCATGAATGCAGCGTCAACCTCAGCAAGGGGCACACATACATACATGGTTGGCGGTATCCGGTTTCGGATTTGCCTGTCACTGTGGTCAGCCACAGGACGCCTGCGCCTACAGAGGGACCATGGATGGCTTGCGCTGCACCACCCACAGCTCCATCCACACATGCCATATCCAAAATGTCCGAAAGTTATTTTAAAAATACCAAAGCGATAAAATTATACAAGTTCACCACAATTTGCGTGAGCGACGTGTGCAAGTAAGGAGAGGATTATGAAGTACGCAGAACAAAACAAACAACATGTAATGAATGTTATCCACATTAAAAAGACCTAGTTAAAGTGTATATGTATATATATATACACACATATATATATATATATATATAATGTAAGGCACTAAACGAGAAGTAATGCTGCCCTCTCCCTTGACAGAGTTAAGCGAAAGATGCTGGCACCGACGACCTTGCAGTGACAGGAAATACAGAATGACTATGTATAGTGTCTGCAGGGTGAGCAAGAATGATTCCAATGGTGCTCATTACTGCGTGCTATCCGTTCATAAATCGTGTTCCGCATAAAACGAGAAATATTGGGGAAGAAATGAGTACATGCGCACAGGACTCACCTGTGGTGTTAACAACCGGTTCCAGTTGGTCTTCCAAAATGTATGCAGGATGGTCGTATCAGGCTGCCCGCCTTCCAATCCAACATGAATAATGTGGCAAGCTACAAGCTGAGGAAAAAGCGAAGAAAAGGTGAATGGTAAACAGTAGGCTTCAAAAGAAGACGTCAGTTTCCAATTAACCTGCAACACTACTTGTGTTAGGCAGAAATCATGCTATCAGTGAAACCCACAATGAAAACCGGTGTGTGCTATGCAGTGAAATATCCAGTGGAGCACAAAGGCCCTAGGCAACGAAAAGCCGACCGTAGGTGCGAAAGCTTCAAGTCGCATTCGTCGACGGATGACGTTTAAGTGTGCCATATTTGACGGTGCTGTACAGTGTCCGCATAATATCGAGATTCGCGCAAGATTTCTCTTACGGCCGAGTGCAAACAGCTGCTGCACAGCCGCGAAATGTCTGTACCACGAGACTGCACCTTAACGTGGTGCGATGGTTTGCGTGCATCAGTAACTCCTTGAGCTGCGCTGGGATGCGCCTTTTGCACCTTCAGAGTCACTCATAGCAGATTGGTCAGTGGTTAGACCCCAGACAAACTCAGTCCCTTGGCCCTTCAGGTTGGGTGATGGAGCGCGGATGGCTCCTCACTAACAAACGACACTCTGTAGCGCAGTGCGGAAACCCCGCTGCCTTGTGGTCAGGTTTTTGAACCAAATGCTTTGGTTGAGAACCCTAATAGTTCTTCTGTCTAGGCCTGGCCAACCCGACAGTATCCAGCCCACACAATACAACACTATGACTTTTCCTTCAAACAATCTCTTGATGCTCTGGCCGTCGCAGATCATCAAAGCGTGGATAGAGCTAAGGATGCTACTGCTGAAGCTCCCCGTCTTTTTATCTCTCTTGCGCTTTTTCATCCTTATCGTCCCGTACTAACTTCACTTTTATCCCCCCGGGTTTCAACCCCCCCCAATTCTTGACTCTTCCCATCTTGCTTTAATGGTCGCTTGTCTTCTAATTTCCACATAGAAGCCATCACAGGGCATCGCTCCAGTCCCGTCGACAAGTTCATGACCAGCCAAACTGACGTCAGTTCATCTACTTCTATATGGATCCCCCGATCCTCGCTAAGACTGGTATGCCTCAACGTGCGCACTCTGTTGCAAATTAGCCAACAGGCAGCGGTTGCTAGAACACTAGAGACCCTACCGACCGACATATGCTGCTTACGGGAAACCCGTCTACAAGACGCGAGTTTCGTGATAAGTCTGCGATGCCCCACATGCGAAAATTGCGACACATTCGCAATGAGTTTGTCTGAAGATAACGCAGCTTCAAAGGCCGGCCAAGCCGATGTGAGCATTGTTCTGAGTCCCCGGGTTGAAGCTGCCTAGGATGACTAAATCTCAATGAACAGTCAGATATGCGCCGTCAGAATAACTGGCTCGTTTAGAGCTTTGAAGTCAAGCGTAGACAAACGGTGCACGTTTGTCACTGCGGCCTACGCGCCCACAAATTGTAGCGTTAATTTGATGGAAGATTAATTATATCACTAACTGAACAAGATCCTTCGCTACAGAAAAAGTAGGGATACTGTGGTGTTGGCTAGGTATCTGAACACCAAGTTAAAAATAGCCTTCTGATGAGCTTCATCTGGGTGGCCAACACGGTTTAAGCTCTCGTAATGATAACGGCGAGCGGCTGCTACACTTTTCTCGCGAGCACTTTGACACAGCACCAACAGAAGGGTGACATGGTGCCCACCCGCCTCAAACTAGCTATGGACGCAAATAGACCACATCGTAAGCAGTTGCCGCTGGAGAGCCTGTGTACAAAACTGTCGCTCAATTTTGAGCATGAGCGTGAAATCTGACCACGCAATAGTTCGTGTTGGTCTTACCCTTCGCTTCGGTGGGCGAATACGTCGTCGCTGTGAACGCTCTTAGAACACAGTAAATGGCCACTGGTCGCATAGTCATCAGATGTTAATAGCAGAAGGCATGTCTTCGTGTGGCTATTCAAATCACCATCTTGGACATCGGGCCTCTATGCAGTCTCTCGAACTTTTGGATGCTTGCTGACACATTCCGGCTGGGAGCGAACACAACGAGACTCGCAAAGACCTCAGGGCGGAACTGCGTGCTAGCCTGAGGAGTGACTGCGAAGCCTAGTGATCTAATATTGCATCGGAGATGGAAATAGCCGCTGCTCTTGATTAACATTGATAGTTATTTTGTTTGATACGCGAGACGGGCAGATCTGGTGTTAGCGAGACTATAGATGACCGGAGTGGAAGGCCGAGCTAGAGTTTGTCAAAATGCTTAGAGGGTTGAACCGAAAACTTAGGAAAGCATCTCAATCAGTAAAAGTTGCCAGCTTCTCCACCGGCCACTGACCGCGCTACTCTCTGGACCGGCCCCTGGACCCGCTTCACGCGCAGAAGTCGAATGTGAGATCAGACTTCCAAAATTACATTAAACCGTGGGGGCAGAGAGAACTCCTCCTGCACTCTTCAAATGCGGGGACCTGCTCTTGTTTCTGATCTACATTAGTTACTTGTGAAGCTGTGGGATCAGGAAACTGTCCCAGTAGACTGGAGCTGATCTATAATAGTCCCATTTTTTAAGGAGACTTATGTTCGGAATGCGACAATCATAGTTGGATCAATCTGATCTCAAACGCCTCTAAGATACTCACCTCTGTCGTTCTTCAAAGACTTGCTGGCACACGTGAAAATCAGATTCGCGAGGAGCAAGCCGGATTTCGTTGCAGTCACGGCTAGATTGATCACACATTCACATTACGTCAACTGTTGGAGCCCCGAATTATTTATCGGCAAGCCACCGTAGTCGTGTTCCCATACATCAAAGGTGACCTCAATTCGGTTGATCGATGTGCCTTATGGGGCTGCCTAATTAGGAAAGTTGTCTGAAAAAATATGCAAATGCTATCAGAGCTACCTAATCGCATAATTCTGGCAGAGTGAGGACTTCTGGCAAACTATCGCCGCCCTTCAATATCTCCCGCGGTGTAAAACAGGGATGCAAGCTGTCAAGTTCCCTCTATAAATTCTCCATTGACGAAGTCATAGAAACTGTGTTCACTGGACACGACTTGCAAGGCATGGAGCTACTTTCAGACAAAGGAATTTTTGAGTTGGAGTACGCCGACGACATTGCCCGTCTCTGTAACAGATTTCAGACATGAAAAGTAGCAGTGGACGAATTATCGTTGGCTGTCAGTCGTTTCGGTCTAGGCTTTGCACCCTCGAAGTCCAAAGCCCCTCTCCGTGATTGGCAGGGACCAACTTCCGCACTAACACTTGGTGGGGGTCAGCTTCAAACCATCGAGAAATCCAAGTACCTAGGTAGCTGTATCAGCGCCAGTGGAATGGAAGATGAGATCACAAACCGCACAGCGAAAGCCCGAGGCGCTTTTGCCAATTTCTGCCACCTGTGGTGCCGTGGTGATTTCACTCTCACCTAGAAGAGCGGCCATCCGTTCAACGCTCTTATACGGTTGTGAAATCTGACCCATCAGATCGACAAACACAGAGTCTAGTCACATTCGATCATCGCTGCCTTCGCAGTTTGGTTCATCCAGTGGGAGCACAGCGTGAGCAGTGAGTGTGTTCGGTGTCGTGTACTTGGTGCAGGAAGAGAGAGTGAACCGCTCAGCCCCGTTATATAATGCACCAGACTCCGATGGCTGAACCATGTGTTGCGCACGACAGCCCACCGACTCCCGCGACGTGCGTTGTTTGCGCGCCGGGAGTATGGATGAAAGAAAAGGTGGAGTGATCAAGCGATCACTTAGTCAAAAGAAATGAAAGTCATCGCTTCGAGATTGGCGTTTGTTGGCGTGTCCCGACTGTCTGGCCTGGGTCCGAAGGACGATGAACTCGTTTGGTTGGATACATTAGCTGACGGCAAGGAACAGACTTCAGTGGCGTTGGTGTTGTGAGTTTCTTTGTCCATCCCCATCTTCATGCAACGACGATCTCTCTCGACGCACAATATGTTACTACATAGTGCTTTGTCTTTTTGTATCCTATACTGCTCAGTATCTAACATTTGCGTACCTTTATGTATTGCGGCACAATAGTGAAAGTGCGTTTCTCACCTTTAATTAATGTGCAATGATGATGATGCTGAAGCGGTGACAAATTTCAAGTGAAGTACGCCCGAAAAGCTCATTCAGCAGTCGCAGAGCATACTGCCTACTCCTTGTTTGTCATGCTCTGAAACGCAATTTGCCCGATTTTGCCAATTAAGGAGATCCATCTAACAAAAGTGCCACAAACGGGGTCGTAAGGGATGGGTACTGTAAACGATCGGCATCGGTGCAGACGCTTCAGATCTTCAGAGAGAACGGGCCAAGTCTCACTCCCATAGAGCAGGACGGTCCTCACTGTGGCTTCGTAAACACGGCCTTTCAGACGGATGGAAACTCTTCTGCCGCCAAAGATGCCGCGGAGTCAAGAATGCAGTTCAGCCAATTACAATGCGTGAACTGACTTCAGTTTCTATGTGCCCATCGTTGCTGATGCAGCTGCCAAGGTAAGTGAATCGATCAATCACCTCGAGTGCTTCGTTATCAAGGGTCAACGGGTCATCAAATAGTTGGTAGTTTTGCAACAATACTTTGCACTCTGAAGGTGCAGTGTATAACAAATAATGGGACTACTCTAGAGAAGCTATTCATGGCTGACTGTACAACCGCGAGATCGTCGAAAAGCAAGATGATATCGTCCGCATAATCAAGATTAACTAGTTCAGAGGTTTAAAAACAATCAGTTAGTATAGTAGTTTGGTAATGTCTCCGCTTTGACACAAGAGCTTCGTCAGACCACATGAATCACTGTGCAATTGGAGTTGGATTTTATAGAGAACAGGGGCGATAACCGCGTTACCCGAGACTTGAGCGAAGGTGTCATTACAGTAACAGTTCGCGATGTCACCCCAGGTGGTTCAATCACAGTGGGAATAGTCCAGGTGTGCTTTTGTGCGTCATGGCATTGACTGATAAGCCCATAGTGTGGACATTGGGAGTCGGTTCGCAATATCAAAGTTGATCCACGCACCGATGTGCGTCAGGCTGGCCGGCTTAA